AGATCTGTTTCGGGTAATTCATGTACGCTATTGTACAGCAGAAGCATTAACATCAGCAGTTCGCCAAGACCAAACATATCAATATTGTCATATCCGTTACCATGCCAAACACAAGAGTTGTCATGGCAGAAAAACTGTTCAGTAACTTTTATGCTGGATTCTGACATGCTTTTTAGACTTATTTGCTCAGCAATCCCTACATTTCCATAAATGCAGTTTCACCCAGAGAAGAGATGAGAAGTCATATCAGGAGGGCTTTCTCAGTGCAAAGCTTATTCAATAAGGCTGGGATGTTTGCCATCCAGAGTACATTCCTCATCCACTTGCCTGCATGTTTGTTTGTCTGCATTAAAGAACCGTCAGCAGTGGCCTTTGACTCTCCTGAAGAACACCCGACAAAACCATTTACACAAGAAACCTGGACTTATTAGCCAACAATTGCTCCGTTTTATTGCTGTTCAGTAACTGCGTTTTACTGTTCGCATGTGACGTGTGAACCATTTGAACTTCACATGTTTGTCATGTCACACATTTCTTCAGGAAAAAGTATTCACTCCAACACAGCTAAGCTAGTGGATATCTTCCCTCTCTTTAAGCTGTCTCACGAGCCTCACGAGAAAGCCAGTGTTTGCACACCAATCACTTTTCTTTTCTGTCTCTTGAAAAGGAGCTGTCACCAACCCATCACACGCCGTGCCGAGCAAACATCACCGCACAGACTGGCCAGAAAGTGACTGAAACAAGAGAGCCATTTCAAACATTTTCCTTCAGCCGTGACATTGTCGTTTAAAGTAGCGCTACATTTTCGTTTGAGCAAACTTGACAGGTTTTCAGAAGACTGCAAAAGGCTTTGTGTCTTTGTACATGTTGCAGTTGGTGCAGTATTTCAGTGTTGTTTTTCTATGTACTGAACCTGAATTTAAAGGTACAATATTTGACTTTTTAATTCAAAATTAACAAAATTTTAACGAGTCAATACATCATCAAAACATATTTTTGTGCTACCTGATTCACTATATGGTAAGCCTAATATAAGTGTTTATATTTTAAACCTGTAGAAATTGCATACGTCACTGTCCCGTGCGTTGTCTTGTCATATCCGTTAATAGAGTTGCTCCAGCTACATAGGTTAGTTGTTGTTAGAAATGTTGACATAATAAAACAAGAATCAACATTGGCTTGGCTTTTCTGAGATGGCGAGAACTGAGAGATTTGAAATGTTGTAAAAGCGACATGGAGATGATGGCGTTTTTATTACTCGACAGGTTAGTAAGGTATTTTATTGAACATATAGATTGCCATATGTAGCTCTCAGACAGTGTTAATTGTAAAGCATCATCTATTATGAACGGTCATATTCATCCGCACAGTCACGCAAAGCTGAAGCACAACCAAAACAATGTTCTTCTGCAAAATGCATGCGGTTTTGTTTTTTACATATACACGAATCCGACGAGCGTTCTGTGTAGGCTGCCATCTTGTGGCGACGCCATTACTGAGCTGTTACCGGAATGTAAACAAACCTCCGTGATAACCATAGACTGTGGTGATAACGCACCCTCGATGACAGCTCTATGTGACAGCTACAGCCAGGCAGAATGACTTGTTGGGTTGATGATGTTAGACAGTGGCCTCCAGTCACAGATGAAGGTACAAACGATCTTACAGATTATTTATGATAATAGCTTGGCAAGCTAGCTAGGCTAACGTTAGCTAACGAGGAAACTATAAAAAGATCTGTCCATTTGACAACAATAATAAATGAATGACATCAAATAAACGAATTCATGTTTTTCATTTGTGCCCATTATTTATCTCATTTTCACATTGCAAAAGGCAAGGGTAGCCTACAGCTAGAAAGTATACATAATATCGACCAATTAGTGTTTTTAAACCATGGAAAGAGGTCAATATAACAGCAGGAGAACAATTATGTCACATAACGTTATACATTTAGCTCAGGAAAGCCATAATGACCATAGCATGCTAATTGAATAGAAAAAATAGCTAGAGAGGAGATTTTGCTGAGCACTATATTACATATTTATTATATTTTTTACTTATGTCATTAAATAATTGTTATTATAACAAAAACCGCATTATATTTAATTTAATTTGTTATTTTAATTTGTTATTTAAAAAAAATTCTGTCACAGTCAAGCAAATCAAACATTAACAGCAGACATAACAGTAATGTTAGTCACTGCCCCAATGCGCTCTTTACTGCCGCCATTGAAACAATTTAAAACGGAACATTTTTTCCCACTCGACATTATAAAAGTTGTAACGTTAGTGACAGTCGTAAATCGCGGGCTGTTTATTCCAGTGGACGCAAGTAGCAACTAAAACAATAGGAGGCAATGGCGCAACGCTACCCAGCAACAGCTCAGTTATGGCGCCCGCTTACTTCCGGTAGTTTCGCCGGATTCGTCTATAGTAGTGTACCTTTAAACTGTCAGTGATGACATTGTTGCAGCATTGTTTTGTTTGCTTTGAGTAAAATGTTCTAGAATGTGTCCATTACACTTCATTCAAATACTTATTTGATGTCAGCGTAGCAGCGAGCGTAGATATTTCTTTATTCAATATTGCAGCAGAATGTCTCGTAATTCATTAGGAAACTCTTACACCAGGGGCCTGTTCAGAGTCACAACTTTTTAACTTTTTAACATAACTTATGTTTAAATCCATGTTAAAATGTGAGAATCAATTATCAAATATGATCCATCAGGCCTTTGAGTAACGTTTATTTTTTTATTTCTCAGTTATCATTGTACAGTTACAATTGTGTTTTGCCTCTCACAATAAAAAAACTATATTGTTATGAAGGTCTCATTAATTTACATAACAGCCATCAGAATTTCATCTTAATATTTTGTCATATAAATAACAGCAGCTGCACCAAATTGCAATGCAGTTTTGCTCAGTTTAGGCCTTTGAATAAAACTGAGGTGTGTTTTTAACTGAGTTCTTAAGTCACAGTCTTAACAGAGTGAATGTGTTTATGCAACTGGCCCAACGCTTTAAGACTGTGTCTGAACATGGTCTGACCAAGAAGTTAGCCAAGAAGTAATCAGTTTTAGGATTCAAATTAGTTTAAGCATTTTATGCAACTGTACAGCAGGAGTAAACAGTTTATTTACTGAATGTTCTCTGGGAATACAGAAATCCCAAGAGGATTCAGCCATCCTAATGGATCAGTTTACCCTCTAAAAACATTTAAAATATCCCACAGGCTATTTTCCGTAGGGTCAGACTAAAACATGATAAAGGTGAACAGAGCCCATTTGCAGTGCAGCATCTTGCCATTTATAATAATGCAACATTAATAACTTAAACGAGGGATTAATAAAATGTAGGAATTGGGTATATGCTTTCATTTCACTGTAAAAAAAAAAAAAGATAAGTCATGACAACATATGTTTTTACATTGCTTTAACTCATAATAATAAAAACTTTTTTTATAAGTTACAAGATTCTACTTATTTTTTAAGTCAGTTTAATGTAATTTAATTAACATCCAAGTTGATTGTATTTAAAAAAGAAATTAAGTCAGCAACTTTTTTTAGTGTTCATTTAGCCTTACAATTGTAAAGCACACACTAATCAAATGTGTTTGCTCTATATTTGCTGCCCACCTTGAGTCTTCCCAGTATCCATGAACAGATGTTTCTGTGTGTTATGGGTGATATACAGTACAGTTTACAGTTACACTGTGTAAATAAGACAGCGCTAATCCCACTGAAAGTCAGTCTAATGAACGGTTATTGAGAAGCTTTGTATCTGTTGATATCTCTGTATCTTTCTTTATTTGCACAGCCATAGCTTGTAGCCAATAACAACCAGCTTCTTCAGAAAAAAAAAAGACTACAATAAAAAAATTATATTCTCAGTAAAAGGGGGTTATTTTCTTTAAGTCGAACTAATAATTATTACATACAAAATGGCAGGAGTTTAATTTTTTTTTTTAACTCTAAAAATATACCCAGGAATTAGTACTACATACTGAAACCATTTATAAAGTGGCTTCATAATGCCACTGCGGTGTTTTGGTGCTCTCCAGTGGTTAACATGTGTAAGTGATCGTTTGTGCTGCTGTAAATCAAGAGTGAGCTGAAAGTGCGCCAGAGCAACACCTATGATGCCTTATAAAATGTTATCCAAAATAATAAATGTTAACACAAACATGAACTTAATCTTATTTACTTGAATGCCATCTTACCTGCCTATAAGACATGGCATTTTTTACATTTAGTCGTATACTCGAAGAGTTCAGATGATGCTATTATTATTATGTAATTGTACATTGTTTTTAATGAGGCGTTATTATGGTAACATAGTTCCCCCAATTGCTGAGCTGAGCATCTTCTTAATAAAATATAGCCTAGGCTTATGCGTGGACTTAATATATGGAATAGCCTAAGTACAAATAGTTTTTGTTCTCAGCCAAAATGTGCATATTAGTTAGCAAATTAACAAATAACAGCTACAAACACATCGCTGGGGACAAACCAGAAGACGACATTAGGAACAAATAGGCTATTTTGAATTCATATTAAAATATGATATACTTAAAAATTAAAAATTAAGCCTGATAGCAAAAGCTTGTTCCAGCGTTTCATTCGGGTCACTAAACACATGAGGGACTAAAGGCATTTTACTGGAATGAGCTAAATGTAAGTTAACGATAACCGTACAACTCCTGACTAAAGAGTCCTTAGTGTTTGATTAACATAATTACAAATAATTAGCCTAAATGACGTAGCGTACCGTTGTTTTCGGAATCCACCACTAGCACTTTGTTTACTGTTGTTATAAAGCTGTAATATTTTGATGAATTTCTATTGGCTACGCTGTGTCCCCGCATTTTCTCATTGGCTATTAAACGCATCAGTCTTTTTCTGATTGGACAAAGGAGTCAGCGGTTCATCTGCACTGAGACGCCATTGGCTCAATAAGTAGGTTAGTGGTCCGCTATTACATTGAGAGGAAAGTAGGTCATAGCGAATGTATGCTGATACTGTCCAGCGCCGTCCACATTCGCTTGATCATACATGTGCTTTTCTGCCTTCTTCATGTAAGTAAGACAATGTCTTTTGTCATGTTTGACCTCTAAACGTGCTGAACTGTATGCTGTTTATATGCAAATATTGCTGTACATCTTTATTAATTCGCTATAGTCTCTACGAGGTGCTTTAAAGTTTTTGAGATCTCGACCGGTTATGCAGCAGTATCATTTTAGAAATGTATTATTTCTGTCAAGGTTCATAAAAATGTATACATGTGTTCATCTGTTAGTAGTACTACAGAAACCTACATTTTGCTTCTCTTAACACTCATGTCAGATTATATAAGGTCAGAGTAAGAAGTGAACAAACGTGTTAATTACGCATCACTACGCACGAATGTGTCTCATTTCTGATGAAAACATCTTGGTTTAAGCCTTATGCAAGTCTTTGCATCTATAAACACATTACGGTGCACGTGCTTACTGCGTGTCACGCTCAAATATGCGCACGAGTGCTTGCTCATATCCCACTGTGACGGTATGCGCGAGGGTACTGTAAACTCTCATGCCCTTTTCCTGAGGTAAACACTGTTTACCTCAGGAAAAGCTGTATCTCGAGTCCCAATTAGCTGACTACTAGTGGCTACATAGGCAACATTTGATAGTGTTATTGGCGCTTGCAGCATCATTTTTCATCATTCAGCATCCCTTTGAGCATCAGGTGCGTGCAGCTGTCATAACTTACCTTTATTACCTTGTACCGCAGTTTTGGGGATCATTGGACATCACTGTCAGGACTGAGTGTGTTTTTAGGGAGCTCTTTTGGGAATTAGTGTTTGGAAGCTTGCCCCACAGGATTAAAAAATAATATTTGTGACTTATCTAAATAACTTATCACAATTCTGAGTTTAGCTGGCAAGTCTGACATTTTTCTCAGAATTACGAGATATAAACTAGAAAGTGTGAGAAAACAAGTCAAACCTGTGAAACTGGTAACAACAAGGACAAAGTCACAATTATGAGATAAAAAGTTGCAATAATTTAATTCCGTGGTGAAAACAAGCTTCCATATCAGTTTTTATATTTCACAATTCTGACTATTTTCCCCTCAATTCCGAGTTTAAATCTCACAATTCTGAGAAAAAAAAGTCAGACTTGCGAGTAATAAACTTGGAATTGTAAGAAATGAACTCATAATTGCATAATATAAATGCTCTATTGTGAGAATTTTCTTAGAATTACGAGTTATAAAGTCCGAATTGCGAGATATAAAATTGCAATTTTGAGAAAAAAGTCAGAATTCTGATATAGTGTAAACTCGCAATTCTGAGAAAAAAAAAAAAAATCTGAATTCTGAGATATAAACTTGCAAAGAAATATTCCGTGGCGGAAACAAGCTTCATTATCAATATGTACTAACACCATACTTGTGTATTTACATATCATATTTGTTTATTTACACATCATAGCCTACTTACATTCAACATTTTGAGCTTAGGCTTGTGCAGTTTTTGGTAACAGAAAGATACTTACAAAGTATGATTTTAGGTGTTAGGTGCTGCATAATGTAATTTTGGAACTGTGTTAGTTCATCCTTGATCACCAATATAAAATCCTTCAGCAAATCTTGTTTCAAGATGTTTCTCGACAATTATTTGTGGAGCTTCATGGTAAAGACAGCATCACTAAACATCACTCATTTAGGCACCATATGTGCGTGCAGTAGGGATGGGCATTTTTCAAAAATAATGCATTCGAATATTCGGGCTCATAGAAATCGAATATTCGAATATTCGTTTAGCCTATTTAAATGACATTTAACGAAAAAGACGTTATTTTTTAAGTACATTTTTCAAAAAGTTTTTGTCACCATTTCTTAACAAGCTTACGATTAGGCAATACACAACAAGCTTACAATATATGTTAAAGTTTTCTTTTAGTTGAAAACATTAAACAGTTGGCCTATGTGTAAACAAAATATAAAAAAACAAAAGGATTTAAGCTCAAGCAGCGCGAGCGGAAAAAAAAAACGCCTAATAAAGCAGACTGCGCCAGATATCGAACAGAACGTACACACACACTCGAGTCAGCATGATTATCGTGTATATTGTTTCACGTTTATGTTGAGAAAAACAATAATGTCCACATCAGGTCCACATGCAGGGGCGCCGCCAGCAATTTATGCTCGAGTGAGAAAACGCGCTGCACTGACAGACGATTCAGAGACACAAACGGTCACGGTGTTATAAGTTTCTAACAGCAATTTGCGTTTTCTGTTCTTAAACCTAGTGAAACTTAAGGGAAGTATATGTCTAAAAAAATAATTTTGCTATTAGATAAGTTAATATCATCTCTCGGATCACGCGCGCTACAGCTGCGCTTACCTGCAGTCGTAGTGATGGACAGCTGTCTTTCCTCAGTCGCCTGCTGTTTGGATTTCATGTGATTTCTCATTGTGTTGATGATATTATAACTCAGATTAATTAATTCATTTGATCAAAAGTAATTCCCTTCTGTAAGATCATTTAGTAACATAATTTTCAACTAGTAGTCTAATTCCAAACTTCGCGAGGCAGACGACGACGACATTATGTGATCAAATACAAACAACTTGTTAAATACCATAGACTGTGTTAAACACGCACCACAGCGCCACGCAGAGGATTTAGTTATAACTGCGAGTTAGTGCTTGGGATTTATCAGGGATTCACTGCATTTACGGCCAGCAAAGCATTTAGGCTACGGCTTCATAAATTCGATAAAATTCGAATAGTATTTTATTTTTCGAATAATAATTACAGATCGAATATTCGAAAATTCGAATATTCGTGCACATCCCTAGAGTGCAGCTGTTTTTTTTTCTTTCTTTTCTTTCATTGATGTTTGGGGATCATTGGGCATCGCAGTCAAGAATAATTTTAGGCAGATGTTCTGGGGATCAATGTTTATTCAGCAAATTTTGGCACCATAATCTTAGCTGTAGCTGCGTTCAACATTTTTGAGCTTGTACAGTAAGGCATGTGCAGTTTTTGGGAGCAAAGATACTAACAAAGTATGATTTTAGATAAAGTGCATTCAGCATTTTTGATAATAAACACAACACATGCAGTATTTTCGAAACATCATTGGTATGGTCTTTATTTAGGCATCATATTGCATACAGCTGGTTTGTGGAAATCATAGATGTGCTCAACATTTTTGGCATAATAGGTAAAGGCTCCAAGTCTTGGACATCATGTGCACAGGTATTATTTTTAAGGCCAAAATGATGCATTTTGGCCAGTGTTTTGTAGTAACTTCATCTGCACACTATTGTGCTTGTGCAGTAAAATGTTTGTTCGATTTTTAAGGACTTTTTTTGTTTATTTCTGTACAAAAAGCAATTTGGAGTCACACTTTATATTAGGTGTACTTACATAAAAAATAATTATTAGGTAGTATAGTGTTCATGTTGTATCGCTAAACACTTACGGGTAAGGTTAGGGACAGGTTTGGTTGAATGGGAAGGTTTAAGGGTGGGTTAAGGTGTAACGGTACAGTCAACAGTGTGATTAGATGTAATTACAGAAATTAACGACAGCTGTAATTACATGCAGGCATTTTTGGGTTGCACTTTATTTTACAGCACTTGCGTGTACTACAGTGTACTTATCTAAGAAAGTACTAGGTGATATAAGGCAACTATATGGGTTAAGGTTAGGTTCAGGGTCAGAATCTAGTCATTACCCAGTTATTGCAATTACTATAATAAGTGCATATTATGTAGGCTACATGCAGAACAGGAAATAAAGTTCTACCGATCATTTTTAAATATAAGTACAATGTAAAAACATGTATGTACACAATGAGTGCATTGTAGCAAATGATTAATTTAAATGTTTGTACTTTGTACATAGTAATTACATACACTTAATATAAAGTGGGACCGAATTTTGGAAATTAGTTTGCCACTTGATGACAAATCCTAAAGCAAAACTAGTTGAGAATCTCTGTGATTGTATTTTATTGTAAGATGTTTCTCGTCAGCTCTGTTATGGTAAGACATGTTCACTAAATATAGTGGAGTAAAGCTGTTGGGCTCATATACTTACCTCAAAGCTTACATTGAGAGTGTGTAGGACATCTGCTTAAAACCTTGTTTTGTGTGCAGTGAAAGTGTTTACCTTTACACATGTGTGTGTTTGTATTACATATGAGTATTTAGTGTGCTGATGTAGATTGTGTAACAAGGAACTAACTGATAAAACATAATAAAAAACATGTTTCCACAAAAGAAATGTGATGTTTTTGTTGGAAATATATGGACTCAATTCAGGGCAGACATGTAGGAAGTAAAAATTAAGCTGCTGCATGGATAATGATTATCTGGAGAAAGCCTTTGTGAACTCCACTTTCAAACTGTGGCAGTAGCCATGTGATCTGCCAATGGTATTTACATGGCACTACAAAGAAATACCATGGTATTATTATGGTACATATCTAAAAACATGTGGTATATTACTACAAATTCACGTTGGGCTTTGCAATCAAATTGCCTTCTGTGTGAATGCAAGCTAGAGCCAGAATGCTGGAAAAGACCCTATAACATTACTAAGATCAATCTTTTTTTTTCTTTACTGTAAATATTTCTCACATTATGGAAAATCAATTTAGTTAAATAACATAGTATGAAATAACAGATTACGGTATGCACACTATACCGTTCAAATTGTTTTTGAGAGAAGTCTCTTCTGCTCACTAAGGCTGCATTTATTTGATAAAAACAAACAGTAAAACCAGTAATATTGTCAAAAAAACTATACACGCTTTTAGCACCAGTCACTGGGCATTTCACTTTGAAACTGTCGCGAAACGTGCAGGACGCAACGTATTTTGCGCTTTGCAAAAATGTTGCCACAGGTACGTTTTTCGAATGAGCCTGGGCTGCATATGATTCTTCAGAAATCATTCTAATATATTAGAATGATAATATAATAGAATACTATAATAGAATGCGGATTTCGTGCTTATGAAACATTTCCTATTAGTATCCGTGTCAATAACCGTTTTGCACGTGCACAACTTTTCCA